CCTATGTTCATTATCCCATGCGTGTTTACATATTTGAGATCTATCAAATTCTCTATTTTTAATATAAGATTGATGTTCACTTATTCTAATATTTAATGGCCTTGATGATTCACCTAAATAAAACTGATCGCATTCACAAGGTATTTTATAAATGCAATTCTTTGTCCTTTCTTGTTCATTGTTAGGTTTGGTTTTGGACAAAATAGATCTCAACGTGTTTGTTGTTTTAATGTTGTTGAAATGTTGAATTTATTTCCTATCCTTTTAAGTTTTTCTGATAATCCTTTTATGTACGGTATTGTTATTTTCCTCATATTATTCCTTGTGTATGCTGTAGGATCTCGTTCCTAAGTTGTTCTGTTCTATTCGATCGATTGTTGAAAATTCCTTATTTATAAACGATAAAGGATAATCATTTTTTAATAAAACAGATGTTAACAAATGTTTCTCCTCCAAGAACGAATTTTCGTTAGAACAAGTAATTTTGGCTCTATCGTATAAGGATTTAATTATTCCCTTTTTTACATTAATATTGTGATTTGATTTGAAATTTAAATATCTATTGGTGTGTGTTGGTTTTCTATACACCTGAGTCTCATATCCAGTATCGTTCTTAGAGATTAAAACATCCAGGAAAGGTAGCGTGTTATTATATTCCTTTTCCATGGTAAATGTTATTGTCTCTTCTTTATCGTTTATATCGTTTAGGAATGTGTCCAACAACTCTGATCCATGAGGCCATATTGAGAATACATCATCTACATACCTCCACCATACTGTGGGTTTGAAATTTTGTTTAGAAATGATATTTGTTTCAAAATCTTCCATAAATATATCGGCTAAGAATGGAGATAAACTAGAGCCCATTGCTAGACCAAAATTTTGTTTATAGAATTCATTATTTAGTTGAAAATATGTATTATCAGTACATAATGTTAATAACTCCATTATAGCCGATATGTTTAGTCTTGTTCTAGTTGCCAATGAATCATCACTCTCTAATTTTGTCTTGACTATACTTAAAGTCTTATTTAATGGCACATTCGTAAATAAACTATTTATGTCAAAACTTACCAAAGTATTATTTGAATTAAATTCAATATTTGATAATTTATTTAAAAAATGTTGTGTATTTTTTAGGAATGTGTCATTTTTATTTGTATAAGGTTTTAAAATATTTAATAAAAATTTTGATAGTTCACTACAAGGAGAATTTATGGTACTACAAATGGGTCTAAGTGGTATATTCGTTTTATGAATTTTCGGTACTCCATAAAAATGAGGAGTCTTACTGTAATGAGGTGTAATTAATCCTCTCTGATAACTTGTTAAAACATCTTTAAACTTAAATAAAGTTCTATATATTTTTGTTTTCCAAAGGCTTTGTTGGATCTTTTGTTAATTTTGTATAAGGTCCGTTTATTAATAATCTTTAATTTTATTTTCGTACTGAATTTTATCCATTATTACAGTTGCATTCCCCTTGTCTGCTGGTAGGATGATTATGGAGTCGTCATTTTTTAATCGACGACGATTTCCGAATTGGAAATTGAAACGTCAATAAACGTATTTTATCTTTAATTGTGGCTTATTCCCAGTTATAAATAATAATTAATAGATGAGATAATCGAGAAAATATCTCACTCCGAAGTATTGAAGGCGATTGGAGCTGCCCTCGCCTACATTGAGCAACAGGAAGAGTCAACCCTTACCGATGTCCTTTATCTTCAGCATTCTTTCAACATCGCAGCGTCAAAATTAGCCCAGAAGTTGACACAGATATCTATCAAAGATTCTTTAAAACATGAAGATGATCCAGTACGTAAATGTTTTCGTATCTATATATTTTAATTATGTACTCTGTATGCAGGTTCACATACTTAAATTGTACATAATAAGCTAGTTACATACGTCATAACTTTTGAATTTTTCGTTTATTTTAAGCAAATATTCAATCTCCACATTATCCGAGTTTTTCGGCAGCCGAGGTACGCACGGTCCCAATTGGCTCGGATAATCGCGAGTCTACTGTAAATGATATTAGTATACAAGATTAACCAGTTGATGATTATTCGCCAGAAGTGTCTAGTGATTAAGTGAGAATTGTAAATATGAGAATATAAACATTGTATAAACATATCAGTGTAAGTTATTGTAAATATAAATTGTATTCTTACAAAAAAGATGCAATTGTGTAAAATATTTGTAATTTTTATCTCCGCTAATACAATAAACTTTTAAAAACCTATAACTCTACAAAAATATTTTTTTATATAAAAACTGAAAAAATAATGTTAATAACAAAATGCAATAAAAGAATACTCCAGAAGAATGTTAGCTAAAAAACGATTCAACTCAGATTTAAAACACAAAGATTCAACTCAATGGAAGAAAAAATGTTAAACAGTGAGAGTAAACTCAATGAAAATTGAGTGTCGCAACACAAAAGGACGAATAATAATTGCTAACAGGTGTTATCATGGTATATCACAGTATTTAGCTAACAAACGTCCTGTCTCAAAAAATTCGTATAAGGCTGTGTAAAACACTGATAGTCCCTGTTCTCACATATGAATCAGAAGCATGGACTCGGATACTCGGAGCGGTCTGTGAGGACGGAATATGGAGGCGTAGATGTAACTTTGAGCTGCAGAATATCTACAAGCATACGTTTGGTGGTAAAGATATTACCACTATAATTAAGCGAAACCGTATGCAGTGAGCAGGACATGTAGCCCGAGCCCCTGAATCGAACATGATAAAAAAGATTCTAACAGCGCAACCTGTGGGAATGAGACGACTGGGTAGACCAAAGCTGAGGTGGATGGACGAGGTCACCACAGGACAACACAAGATGCCGAGAAGATCGGAGTCTGCAAGTGGAAAATGCAAGCAAGAGACAGAACACAATGGCGGTAGAAAGCTTGAGAAGGTCGAGGCCCTCTAAGGGCTGTAGCTCCAAGATGATGATGATACAAATGTATTTATTCGACGATAAAGCAAGACAGTGAATTGAGGTGAAGACATTTTATTTGTTTTTTGTATTTACAAAAGAAGGACAAATTATATAGTAATAAACAATTCTCCATTAAATCTAAATCACAATTGCTGCACAACACAAAAAAAGGACTTCTTGATCTGCTTTGAAAAAAATGATATTAAAAACAAAAATAACTAAATATTTAGCAAGCACACTACAAATTGAAACAAAAACAATGTACTGTGCAAAGAGTTTCATAGAGTGTCATCTCCCTACGAAGGTAGGCAATCATAATGGCTATTTTAATTTTTAAACTTGCTGCTCTAAACAAATCAATCGATCTGCATTGATACCAATCATGTAGATCCTTCAGCCATAAGTTCTGCCTTCGGCCAACAGATCTTCTTCCTTGAATCCTTTCTGTATTATGAGTCTCAAAATTTCATATTTTGGTCCCTTCATCACGTAGCCTAGGTATTTTAGTTTTCTGGTTTGTATAGTGGTGAATAGTTCTGTTTTTTACCAATCCTCTTCAGTACTTCTTTATTTTAAAGCACGTGGTGGTCGTGTGTATTAAGGTATAAAAAAATGCCTATTAAAAGCTTAAAACTTTTTATTTTAAAGAAGATCTTTTCGGAATAAACTCATTCCATCATCAGTTTAAATAAAAAGTTGTCAAAAAAAACATTGTATGGCCACATGACAAAATAGTAGAGAACTCCGTATTAAAAAACTATCCTCAAGGTGTTTATGAAGGTAAATGCAATAGAATGTTGATTTCAGACTGCAGATTAGTAAAAACTGAAAATGGGGGCATCTTATATGCGTAGTAGTACTTCAGCAGTACTTTTAAAGTGTGACTTATGAAGCTCAGTATTTGATAATCAGAGCATTTTTTTGCTGCTTATTTTTTAGGGATCGTTAAAAATACTGATTTCAGCCACTCTTCGTATCGTACACCGTGTTGAATAAATTTGCCGATACTTCCAAGTTATCCTCTTCACTAGTTTTAACAGTTCTACTGGTATTTCATCTAATCCAGCTGCCTTATTGTCTTTAGAGATTTTGATGGCATATTTGATTTTATCTATAGTGATCTTTTGTCTCTCTAAAATATTTAATTCTTGTATTTTCTGCATTTCACCTCTTTCATCTTGGAAAAATGCTCTAACGTACTCCTCTCATTGTCTTAATTTTTCTGGTAAATCTATTAGAGTACTTCTTTTTTGTCTTTTATGTGTTCTTGCTGTCTATTTTGACCCATTATAGTCACTTCTCTTATTTTTTTGCATATTTCTCATGTCATATTTTATTTCTAGCTCTTTTATCTCTTTACATTGTTTAATCAAATAGATTTCCTTAGCTGTTTTGATTGTTTCCTTAATTATTCGGTGTATTCCTTTATACTTCTGTAGATCTTGACCTTTTTATTTCCTTCTTTTTTCCATCGGTAATAGTATTTCTTTTATCATCCATTGTTTGTTGATCTATGTTGGCCTATATTGTATCAAACTTTCTTGAGCTGGTTTCAGTAATGTCTTTTTTACATCCATAATTTGTTTGTTGTCAGTTAGTGTTTTTTGCATATTAACATTCACATTATTTACATACCACATACCTACATACTTCTAAAAATAAAATACAGGAAGCAGACATGACATGAGATTAAAACACTTATGACAGCTAATCTAAAAGATCTATGACCAATCAACGCTTAACAAAATATGATCGTATCTCGCTAACTATGTACAGTATTTCAGGTGTAAATTTAAATAATAAAAATTTACCTAAAGCATCTTGAGTGCCTGTCTATGCCACTTAAAGGTTTCTAAAGTCCAGTTTTCGCTGAGGTATAAATGGTTCTATTTTTTGTAGATTCTCAAAGTATCATTTTGTTGTTCTTTTAGGTAAGTCTTATTTGGTACAATATATAATTACATAATACATTTTTCGTCGGCTTATTTTATTACTTTATAACAAATATATTTTTTATATATTCTAATTATTTAGAAAAATCAAAATGAAACTATTTATCGCCTTCGCTGCCGTCATTTTGAGTGCCAGTGCTTTGTCTAACAGTGAGCATTGGGAAAGCTTCAAAGTAAGTCAAATACATAACAACTTTATTTATTTAGATAAAAATATCTGATTTACAATATATAAGAAATATATTCTATTAAACATGCTGAAATTATAAACGTTTTCTAGGTCGAACATGGCAAAGTTTACAAGAACCCAATTGAAGAAAGAGTCCGCTTCTCAGTTTTCCAGTCAAACTTGAAACTCATCAATGAACACAACGCCAAATACGAACAAGGACTTGTAGGCTACACAATGGGTGTCAACCAGTTCGCTGACATGACCCCAGAAGAGTTCAAAGCTAAGCTCGGTATGCAAGCTAAGAACATCCCTAAGATCAAGAAAACCCCTCATGTTCAAGATGTACGCGCTGAAGTTCCAGACTCCATTGATTGGAGACAAAAAGGTGCCGTATTGGCAGTTAAAGATCAAGGAAACTGTGGATCCTGCTGGGCTTTCAGTGCTGTAAGTATTTGCTTCTAAAACCATATAATTTCTTTAATTTTTATCTATCAAGTTTATGGACTTTTTAACTTTATTGTCAAATATTTGGACTTCATCGTACGAATCCACTCATTTCTCTTTTTGGTCTGTGTTTAATAGAACTTGGAAATATTCTACCCATCTATTTAACTTTTCTATTGTTTTACTTATATTATATTTGAGAGCCTTGTATGTGACTATTTGTCAGCAACTTTTAAAGGCTGTTTTATCGACCAGCAATTTGGATTTCTCTCTAGCCACTCCACTAAACTTAATTTATTGACATTTACTGATTTTCTTATAGAATCTCTTGAAGATGGCTTCCAGGTTCATACTGTATAAAGAGACTTTACAAAGGCATTTGACTGGGTAAATCACAAGATTTTAATCAATAAGTTGGGGAGTCTGGGTTTCCAGAGTGAACTTTTAGTGTAATAGTACGTGTTCAAGGTTTTCAATCGTTTAAGATTAAGGTACTTTCAGGGGTACCACAAGGACCACACCTAGTACATATTCTATTCAATATCTATGTTAGTGACATTGCCTCCTGTTTCCTCTTTGCTTCTTTCCAATGTTTGCTGACCATTTAAAATTATATTTAAAAATCGAGAATGATGGTGACTAGCAAAATTAATGTCTGATTTGAATGGGTTGAGCTATTGGTGTGACAGCAACGGAATAGAACTTAATGTTAAAAGACCTCACTATGTTTTATAGAATACTGATTATTATTATTTTGGTCCTCAACTATTGGAAAAGATTAATCTCCATGTTCCCAGTAGACAAACAAGGCTAAATCAACCCTTTTATGTTAGACCCCATCGCACAAACTACGGACAAAATTACTTCACGTTTAGAACACCAAGGTTTGCAAATCAATATTCCCAAAGGTTTAATTGTTATAGTATTCTAAAAGAATTTAACTCGGCTCAAAACTGTGTGTGATAGCTTGATGTCCTTGTGTTTTCTACATTCTTTGTTCTTCTTCTTCTTCTAGTTCCTTCTCCTATCGGAGGTTGGATATCATCACAGCTATCCGTACCTTATTAGCGGCTGCTCTAAAAAGATCTAATGAACTGCAACTATGCCACTCTCTTAGATTTCTCAGCCAGGAAATTCTTCGTCTTCCCATGGATCTTTTACCCTTGATTTTAGCTTGCATTATGAGCCTTAATATCTCAATTATCTATCTATATATCTATCTAATATCTCAACATTCTTTGTTAATGTTTGCTATTTACTGTTCCTACTTTAATTTTTTGTATAATTTAAATTTTTAAATTTAATTTAAGTAAGTAATTGTATAAATATTGAAAATAAAGTATTTTATTATATTTTTGATAAATTTTTATTTTGGTTTCATTAAATTTCAACTTTGTTGAAGATATTCTATAGTTAAGAGAGCATCTTTTAATTTTAACCTTATATATTTCAGACTGGTTCCCTTGAAGGACAAAACCATATCATCAATGGCAAATCAGTAGGTCTTAGTGAGCAGGAACTTTTGGATTGTTCCACAGACTACGGAAATGGCGACTGCGATTACGGTGGTCTTATGACCAGCGCTTTCGAATACATCGAGGACCACGGAATCGAATCTGAGTCTAGCTATCCCTATGAAGCCGAACAAAGAAGCTGCAGACGCAGTGATGGCAAAGCTGAATTGAAGATCCAAGGTTACAAAGAACCTGCAGCTAATGAAGAAGCTTTGAGACAAGCTGTTGGTAAGTTGATTCTACAAATAAACATTAAGTAAACATAGAAGGCTTAGTTTAATGTTAACAAAATGGATACGGTTTCTTAATTAACAACAAAAAACATTTTTCTTGTTGACCAGATATTATTGTCCTCTTTAGGTCTCCCTTTTTGAAGTTTTCGAAGTATATCTTAGTATGTCTTAACATTTTTGCTCTAGACCATATTTTTTGGTGGTCTTCAGGTATGTAATATTTATGTGTCATAAATAGTTGATATATTGATATAACAATATTTTTTTGAAAATATTTTACTAAAACCATAACATTATTTATGTAAGAGATTATAAGTTTTGTAATGTATACTATTCTGCAGTATTTTTGTAATGAATCCCGAAAATTTTGTTGCAAACAACGTGTTAAGACTTGTGACATATTTTATTATTACAAAAAATTTAAACTTCGTTTAATTTCTTTTAAAAATGTATTGCTTCATAAATCAGACTCTTTCATATATATTCTAAAAAATATTATTTACATTATACCTGAGACAGCATCCTGTGACTCCATTAAAACCAGGTCAGAGCTCCATTTATGTTTCTAGAAGACAAGCAAAAAAATAATCTATTTTTCGACTTCTCATTAAAAGGTTTTTTTAATAGTCGTCCATAAAATATTTTATTCCTTTTAAAATATATAAAATTAGAGAGCCATAAAAAGGTTTTAAATTCTCCCTTCTCCTAAAAATCACTATAAAAACTCTTTACCTGTCCAAAACAACACACAACTATGTGTAAAGTTCGCCTTACTTATCGCACACACAAGTATTTGTAAAATTAACAGTGCTAAAATAAAATAAAAATCCTGAAATCGCAGTCTACCATTTATTCAGCATAGAACTACACTTTGCTTCGAAACAAAGTAATTAATCAGCATCGATATTACCACCCAATATGGTTTTCTGTTTATGTTGTAGGAGAAGCACAACTCCACAACACATCATCATCACGTAGCGCTACAACCCTAGGTGGGTTGTTAGTACACATACCACATACCAGTTTTTACAAGTCTCTCGTTATGCAATCTGTGAACGTGGCCTGCCCATCTTAGTCGCTGTGATTTAATTTTTGGTCCGAAAGTATTTTTCGTTCAAAGCGTCTGAGCTTTTCTTCGTTTGCTTTGGTCATAGTCCACGTTTGACATCCGTATGTTATTACAGGTCTGACGATGGATTTTTGATTTTTGAACCTCTTCTAACTTTCAGATTGGATTCTGTCTTTTATTTCTTCAGTAACTTCTTCATCAGCTGTGATTACGGTCCCCAGATACTTAAAACGTTGTACTCTTTTGAAATTGAATGTGTTGACCGTCACATTTTGTCCTATTTTGTCTTGTCGTGTCGTTCTATTTATACACATATATTTCGTCTTCTCTTCATTAATCTTTAGTCCTACTTCACTTGTTGCTCCTTCCACCTTGTTAAAGATGTCTTTCGTGGATAGAATGGAGTCTCCAACGAGATCTATGTCATCTGCATATGATGAACTCCACAACACACGTAAATTATATTTAAATGTTTGAATTACCTCTTGTTTAACTATTTCTCTTTTTTTAGGTACTGTTGGTCCAATTTCTGCAGCCATCTACGCCGAACCAATCCAATTCTACTCACGTGGTATCTTTGATAATAAACAGTGCGTCAACAATGTCGACTACTTGGATCACGGAATCCTTGTCGTAGGATACGGTGAAGAAAACAACACACCCTACTGGATTGTTAAGAACTCATGGGGAGCAAGTTGGGGAGAACAAGGTTACTTCAGGCTGCAAAGAAATGCTCATTTGTGCGGTTTGGCTTTGATGACCAGTTATCCAGTTTTGTAAGAAGGCATTAGCTGGTTAAATAGGAAATTTAAGATAGATATATACGTAATTTAAATAAAGATTGTGAAGTCATAAAATATTTTTTTAATTCTTTCGAATGCTTATCAAGACAACCTTCATTTCCAATATCTTATTTTTTTATGTTTGTTTTTTTTTGATATTAGGAGTCAATTCATACAACCAAGAACACTGTTACTAATTGTAATATATTAATAAGATTGAATAGTACTGCTAGATATTTGTAGAGTGTTTAGTTAGCAAATAAACGGCATGGGCGCACTTGAATAAGACAAATTTGGGGTCACTTGTGGAGAGGAAGAATAATTGGATCCTCAAGTAAAAAAATTCTTATAAAGTGTAGGTATTTGCTTACAATGTTTTCAACTGCAATAATCAGAAAATAACAATAAAAAAAAATAAAAAACGTGAGAACGAACTTTTCTTCACAGTTTATCCAGACTTAGGACTGGCAACCTATCAAGTTTTATTTTTTTTATTGGTACAAAGAAACTAACTTTATATATTTGTGTGTTTAGACGTTTTTTTTATTATTTTTGTTTTTTTTTTTCTATATCTAGTAACATTTTTATTTAAACTTAATAATAAAAGCAAGTGTTTTTAAACCTTACGTCTTTCGTATTTTCAAAAATAAGAAGGGTCTTTTTGATCCTTGTGTTTAACTGTATGTATTTCGTTTTCCTTCTGTTATAAACTTCAGCTAACTCTGTATCTTGTTTTAATATTTTCACCAGTTATTTGATTGTAGTTGTATTCTTTTCTATTTATTTATTTAATTTATTATTCCACCAATATTCCACAATCAAGTTACTTAATGAAGAAAACCTAGACATTATTGTCAAGCTCTTTAACTACATCTACGATACCAACCAGATTGCAAAAGATTGGCTTCGATCTACATTTATCGCCCTACCAAAAACACCACGTGCGAACTTCTGCAAGGACCACCGATTAATAAGCCTAATGAGTCACTTTTTAAAACTTTTCCTGAGAATACTGCACCCTAGATTGTTTAAGAAATGTGAAGAGGTCAGTGGATGGAGTCAGTTTGGTTTCAAAAATGGACTTGGCACTAGAGAAGCGATCTTTAGTATGCAAACATTAATACAGAATTGTTTAGATCAAAGAAAGAATGTTTTTGTCTGTTTCATCGATTATGAAAAAGCATTCGATAATGTAAAACACGAATTGATGATAAAATACCTACAAGAGTTAGGATTGGACGCCAAAGATATAAAAATTATCGCCAATCTGTATTGGAACCAGACAGCAACAGTATTTCTTCAAAATTTCAACGAAACAGAAGATTTCTCCATTAAAAAAGGACTAAGGCAAGGTTGTATACTGTCTCCAATGCTGTTCAATTTATACGTACAAAAAGCCTTCACAAAAGCAGTGGCAGACTCTAATAATGGTATTAAAGTTAACGACATATTTATTAATAACATCAGGTATGCCGATGAAACAGCCATCTAACTACAAGTGAATCTCCGGGTTTGAAAATATATATCAAGAAGACAAAAACAATGATTATAAGTAGAAATGATTACTCCAACGCAAAGATATATAACTCTGGAGTAGAAATCGAACAGGTCAGGCAATTTAAATACTTGGGTTGTTTGCTGAACGAGGGTGGGACCCTGAGAATGAAATAAAGAGCAGAGTTGAACAAGAAATGCTTTTTTGAGGCTTCGTAAGTTTCTGACTGATCGCAAATTGGACTTTAACCTCCGATACAAGATGCTTAAGTGTTACGTGTGGCCTGTTCTCTTGTACGAAATGGAAGCATGGACGTTAAAGGCCAGTTCCATTAACAAACTTGAAGTGAAATGTGGTGCCTGCGTCGAATGTTTAGAATATCATGGACGGACAGGGTCAGAAATGAGGAAGTACTCAGAAGAGCGGGCTTACAGGATAGGGAACTTTTTAGTTATGTAAAAATTAAGAAGACTGCATACTGGGGCACATATTACGAGGAGGGTACGAGAGGGTAGGAGAGATCTGGGACGTAACAAAATGTCATGGCTGCGCAATATTCGACAATGGATAGGAATCCACAGCTATAAAATGCTTCGCAATGTTGCTAAAAATAGAAGAATCCTGACTATTTAACATCTCACCTGACAAGGCGATGTACCGTGGACGCCTACGCAGAAATGCACGGCACCTTAAGAAGAAGAAGAAGATTCCACCCCTCCTACAATTATTCGTTTTATATCTTTTACGATAAGAATTCCAACCGTTTAGTGGGATATGTGGATTTTCTAATCACTGCTCTATAAAATAATAATTGTAAAATTGAACAAGCTTGGGATTATCAGATGTATTTTCTTGAATACATAGCCAAGCATCTTCTACGCTTTCAGTTAAAAGATAAGCTAAAGCAGCACACGTCCGTAGCCACAACTTGATTTCTTCATTTTCACTATATTTCGTTATCAGTCCTAGTTCTTATATTTTCCTTCAAAGGCACTGATTAAAGTGGAAGTTACGACCACTTTAAGTATTAAAGTTTTCTAAAAAATATTAACGTTTTAACCATATTTTTGCAACACCCTGTGGAATTAAATAGAAAAAAATACTTAATATTAACATTTTGAGATAGTCTTATCATTTCTTAAGATTTTCGTAAAAATATTAAATGTAACATCTTTTTTATTTACATTTAAAGTAAAGAAAACAATACTTACATGAACTTTATTGACACTTAATACAACTAAAGCCTGTTCAATCACAAATTATTCAATTAATTTATAATTTTTAAATAATATAATAATTAATAAAGATATAAATAAAGTAACGTTTGCTTTTAATAAATTTCACAGGGTGTTAAAAATAAGATGAAAATGGGTAAAACATTAACATTTCTTAGAAAACGTTAACACAGTAATTACTTAGAAATAGATCTGCAATGCGAAAAAAATTAAAAATCCAGTTAAGAATTCAGAAGAAAAATAGCTTGAATGAAAATGACTATAAAATAAATTAAACACGCCCACTTTTTATATAAGTTTACTTTACAATTGTACAAAAATACGTAATATATCTACACATTACAATCCTGCTGTTCATATGTCAAACACATTCCAAGATTGTCTTCCGGAGAAGCTTCACGGACCGTTTGTCCAAAGTGAACTCCGATCACAAATGGCGTCACCGTGCTTTCGATCCTGCAAGGGTCTTCTCCATCTGGACATAACGAAGAACCGCAATGGATGACGTCACATATGCCTTGAATCACATCGTCTTCTCCTTGCTGAATTGTGTATATCAATTAGTCATATGGTAGAATTAAAAAATCTAATATATTTCTTAATGTACTATCAATATTATCATAAGTGGAATATACAGAGATGTTCAAGCCGGTGAGAAAAATTAAATTGAAAAATAAAATTGCTAATCTACATAATCTAAAAAAAAACTACATAAATATTGTTATTCATTTACACAAAATTCATAATGTTATACGTACGAGTAACAAGTCATCAGATTCACAAGGTATTGTTATTTTATCACCACAGCTATCCATTTGTCTTCCTTCAACGATACCATCTTCATCAATATCATCAATGTAGTCCCCAATGTAGTCCCCAGAACCTACTTCCATATATTCATCACCGGGATTTGGGCTGATTCTAAACGCGTTTTCATGGCATGGTTCGTAAACAATACTGCACATGGCATCCTCTTGTCGAATACAAATGTTGTAATCTTGATTAGCAAGATGGCGACCGTTGTCAGCAAAATTCATAGTTTGTATTATTCCAGTGGGACCTAAAGGATTAAAAATAAAATTATCTTAGAAAGGCACGCTTTTCTCTTTCAGAAAAGTTGTCTTTTTTAAATTTTCTATAAAATTGTTAAGTTTGTGCAGTAAAGTAGTCTGGGGTAAAGTAGTGGGTTGGGGTGAGGGGTCGCTAAAATATGAATAATTCTCGATTTTACGGAGCGGATGGGGGAGATGGTTTTTGCTTTTTCGAAGTCTATTTTGTGGCTCGTCTGTATATGATGTTGGGCTAGAGCTAAGTATCGGAATGTTTGACTGATAGAGAATGTTCATAAATGCGGTTATGGATTCTTTGCTTTGTCTGTCCTATATATGAACGTGGTCAACTGGAACAAGTTATTTCGTAGACACGATGGTCTTCATTGGGGATTGATGGCCAATATTATTGAAGGGCTGTGAACCCAAAAAATATAGATATCTTGTAGTTCTTAATATATAAAAGGCTGACGTACTGGGGCCTGATGATGGGGCAAATATTGTAAGCCTTGAAACCGATAGCCCAAAATTTACTATCATTAAATAATAAAAATTACTTAAGATTGTGAATATCGACTCATTTCCCAAATACTGGTATTATGGACTCACATTGGTAACCTTTTTATCATTTTAAGAAAGGTATTATTGTTTAAGTTATTGCTTTTAATAAGAAAAATCAAGTTAAACTGTTACCTTCATAATATTGTAGACAACCCGCTGGAGCTCTTTGAGAAAATGGCATTTGAGTAACTCTCACTTCCCATAGTCTTGTTACAGCTTTTCTGCTCATATTCATTTTAATTTCGATGAAGTCGTCAGTGTTGTCAACATCGAAATAAACTGAAGGTAAATAATATATAATTCACTTAAGATAGGTACATAGTTACTGAATAATCATTATATCATAATTATTGATACTAGAACTCTATTTCTTCTATCTAGCTATCTTCCGCTGATAGCTAGAATGCACGTAAAAGATTGTAATACCCAAAAATTAATAAAAAGAGAAATACATCAAAAAGTAATCCAATAAGTCAACTAAAATCTAACAGAAATAGAAGAAGATACCTTAACATCAGAGTATGTCAATGAAAAGTGGAACAATATTCAGAAGGCATTACTAAAGGCTGTCAGTTTTAATATTCAGGATTTTACTCATATCATTTAATAGTTTTGTCCATTTTTCTTTTCTACCCTCAACCAAATATCTGGTCAGTGT